TTTTTTTTTTTTTTTTTTTTTTTTTTTTTTTTTTTTTTTTTTTTTTTTTCTAGATCACAGTGACAACGATCGGTTATGGTGACACCGTACCACAGACGTGGATGGGAAAAATCGTGGCATCGTGTTTCAGCGTATTCGCCATATCCTTCTTCGCACTTCCAGCCGTGAGTTTAACGAACAAAAAACAAAAAAGAAAAAAAAAAACACACACACACACACCATAAAACATCTACACCACTCATAGCAAGAATATTAATCTAACCAAAATTTCAAACAAAATTTCTACTCCAAAAAAAAAAAAAAAAATTAAAAAAAACAAAACAAATACTTCTTCCCCACACTGTACAATATATATATATATATATTTGTTCTTCTTCTTATTCTAAAAACAAATAATTATTTTAATATATATATATATATAATGATTTATATGAATTTAATTTTGTTCAGGGTATACTAGGTTCCGGTTTCGCGTTAAAAGTACAACAAAAACAACGGCAAAAACATTTCAATCGACAAATACCAGCAGCTGCAATGTTAATACAGTGTCTATGGAGGTGTTATGCAGCTGATAAAGCAATAAACAGTGTAGCTACTTGGAACATTTATATAAAGGATCCAGCACCAGCAGGACAACCGTCTACGCCATTGGGAAAGGTAAGGAGAATTTTTTTATTAATAATTATATCGTTGTTCCTTACGAAGGAAGTGCCAGTGTAGAGAGCTCTTATTATTATTATTATTATTATTATTATTATATATATACCTAGCTGTTGACTGTTGATGTTCTTAGATGCTTAAAAATGTTCTTGAACGTGTTCTGTCCGATCGATCGATCCATCGTAATTCGCGATTAAAATTCGACAACACGTTATTTAATTTTATTTTTTATTATTTTTCTATTTGTTTTTTTTTATTATTATTATTCTATTCTATTTTTTTTTTTTTTTTCTTTTCTAATCGTCATCGGATCGTAGAAATAATCAAACAAAATGATGAGAAAACAAACGATCAATAATGGGGATGGATTTTGAGTAAAATATTATTGTTTAAATCCGTTTGTTTAAATTATCAAAATTAATGAACAATTTTGTATAACGTTTATCGATATAAATATAATAATAAATCGAATGATTCGATTTTGAATTATTTAATTATTGCCGATTCAATCTTATCGCGATTGTAACTTTATCTTTTATCTTTTACTTTTTTTTTTAAGTAATAAATAAAATGAGAAGAAGAAAAAATTTGAAATATAAAACAATACGATTTGTTAATTTTATATTTAAACGAAAAAAAAAAAAAAAGGAAAACCGGTTATTTGATTTAATTAATTCGAACAAACACGATTTTTTGTGTATGTACTTGAATGATTATTTTAAATAAAAAATTTCATTTTCTTGTGCAAAACAAATTAAATTTTTCTTCGAGCCTATTTAACAATTTCTTCTACGATCCGATTCGATATTCGATACAGGATTCGATTGGTTCGATAATAATTTGGCAGTGGATGGATGCGAGCAGAGAATGTTAATATATATATATATATCCTGCTGTATGTTTTTTTTTTTATTTTTTTATTTATTTTTTAATGTATTATTCGATGTATAACGTTTGGACAACAACAATAAGTATATAAATATACATATATACTGTGGGTTTGTTCTTTTTTTTGTTGTTGTTGTTGTAATTATATATGATCATTGTTTTATATAATCGTAGATATATATTATTATATATTATATCGAGAGATTAATTTGTGTTGCTGGTTGATAATAATTTATTTTCATGAAATATTATTTCAATAATTATGTCAATGTTTTTTCAACGCAATTTTAAGACGTGCTTTTTACAAAAGAAAGCTGCTTTGTATATTTGAAATATTTTGTTTCACTCTTCACTTCTTAGATTTTTCTTTCATTCAATTAATATTTAATTTATTTTATTTTTATGAATATATATTTTGGTGACAATAATATTTACGCGCTTCTCGTTTATATTATTTTCTCGTGCATAATTAATTATACAACGAATTCGATTGAATTCGTTCACGTTAGTCAGCCGGTGGTTTTTGCAATTTTCAAATATGCGAATCCAGTTATTGCTTGACATTTCTATTTTTGTTCTTGATATTTCTGTTTCATATTGATTTGGGATTATTTCATTTTGTCCAATTTTATTTTTTAAACGCATAGTTGAAAGCCTATTGTTTTGGAATGCTGAAGTATTTGAGATTATTATAATCGATTAATGTAACCACCGCATATACTTCAATCATGCTGACGAGAAATTGTTTTGTATCTTTTTTTTTTAATTTTATTTAAAAAAAAAAAAAATCATCATTTTCAATATACGCGATGCGAAGTATTATTTTTATTACGATAATTTATTCCGTTGAATATATTTAACGTTCCCCCTCTCACACAACCCCTCTCCAACATTTTATTTTATCATTAACAAATGATCGTTGTGCTTGAAAAAAAAAAAAGTCAACAGTCTAATAAATTCCCTATATTTAAATTACTATACGAAAACGTGCGCGTCATGTATTTATTTCATTCGAAAGATATGAAATTTATCGTTGCAATTAAAATTGCATTTAATTGCATCGATGGAAAAATAATCGACAATAGAGAACGATGACCCCCTTTTTTTTATTTTATTTTTTTTTTATTTTTTTAAAGCTCATTTCAATTGAAAAATATCATTTAGTTTTTATTCCCAATTAACTTTAGATTGGAATCGTAATGAAGAAAAATAATAATACGACAAAACGCATATATACATATATTATATATATGCATATATAATAATAACAATATTATGAACAATGAGAAACAAAGAGCAAATGTTAGAACAAATCCGGCAGAACATCGACAGATCTATCCATGAACATTATGACCACCAAATGACGTCCAATTAACTGGCACATTTTCCGATAAATTACGAGTACATATATATATATATATACAAATATATATATATATATAGTACTACGTACAAATAATATTAACATAAATAATTCAAGTGTAACTAATACAAGAGAAATCAAAAATTATTATCACTAACAATTTTGGTCTTTCTTTTTTCCTTGCATCTGCTGCCAAAATTTAAAAACAAAAACAAAAACAAAAAAAAAACAAAAAAACAAAAAATTAAATAAGAAACGTTCACGTTCGATACTACGTTCGATTATTAGAAAACAAAAGAAAAAAAAATAATAATTAACAATAATTAAAACATGTGAATATACTTCAGTATATTTGCAATAACAATCGATAATTATTAAATGGTGTACCTGATATATATTTCAGTTGATTTGTGTAAAGAAGATGGTATGTAAAATGGTTTAGATTTATTTCATATTTATTAATCTTTTGCATGTTTATTTTTCCTTCTATTTTATATATTATTATTATTATATTACTATTATTATTATTATTATTATTTTTGTTATTTTTATTTTTATTATTATGATTATTATTATTATTATAATTATATTTAAATGCGTATATATATTTTTCTATCTTTTCTATCCACATGTTATATACATTATAATGATTCACAAAAGTATATACCCACTGTCAATTTGGTACCGTTAATCTTGAAAATGTATATTCTTATCAAATAAATTATAAAATGAATTATAATACTTCGTTCATAATTTTTAAACAATTTGGGAATGGATACGAATACTTCTGTGACTCGTATAATCACATTTTTTACAAACACGCTAGAATTGTTTTCTTCCTATCTGTAATTTATAAATCACATTATAGTTTTCATAAACATATAATCAACAATACAAATTCACGGTGTTTTCTTTTTTTTTCTTCGTTAATATACGCGTTTCAATATTTAATATATCAAACTATTAGATTATAAACGTACGTGGTAATTTTTGACAACTTAATATTTTACAAAATCACGCGTTTAACAAGATTTAACAATTAAAATTCGTTACAATAAAGGAACCTTTAGTTCTGAAAAAAATACAACACCGAAAAAAAAACAAAAAATAAAAACGAGAGTTGGAAGTTGGCACCAAAACAATTTTTGTCGTTCGCAATATACGTAGAACAGAAAATTTCGTTTGAATTAATAAAAAAAAAAGGATTCGGGGTGCTTTTTGTAAATTAAAAAAAAATAAAAAAAGATTAAAAAGATTAAAAAGATACGAAGAGGCCAAAAATCTCGATTAATTCGTGCGTGGTTTAATTTACGATGAACTACTACCGCGACCGAACGAACGATCGTGGAAACGAGAATTCTCTCGTGCAAAATTTATCGTGAGGAAAAAGATACGATAGTGGTGGTAGTGGTGGTTGTGGTGGGTGGCGAGTTGGGTGGGTGGGTTTGTGCACGCGAGGGGATTAAGGGGTTTTAGGGTAGGAGAGTAATAATCGATCGAACAAAAATTTTTGCATCCTTTATCGCGGTTCTACATACTCCTAAACTCTATCATAATTATTCGTGCACCTTTGATAGAAAAAGCTTATTGTTTGTAACTTTAATATATATTGAAATTGTTTTTCGTTGTATCACGAAACGATGTTCTGCTTCTTTTTATATATGTTTAAAACAAGAAATAAATTTTCGGGAATGAATGATAAAAATTTTAATACTCTACACTCAGTCCTATTCGAAAAAAATAATAAGTTATTACATTTTTCATATTTTATCTACTTTTACATATATATTTTGTATAATAATATCTGTAACGTGATTGGATTACGTTACACGGGCAGAGTGTCGGAATTTTCGATTATTTTATATTCGAATTGGTTACACTGGTATTTTGATGATTAATTAATTCATTAAATTTTTTATATCATTGATAATATTTCTCTACATGGATTTATGTTACATTTTTATTCTTTTTCTTTTTTTTTGTGTTTTTATTTATAGAATATATTGGTAAAGTTTTGTGAGATAAAATTGGTACACACACTTTATACATAATTGATATAATATTTCTTTACCAGTAATTAATTTTTAATAAAATTTCGACTTTGTTCTTAATAACCAATTCACAAACATAGACATTAAAATCAATACTACAATATTATATAATATGTTACCGTTAAAGTCAGAAATCAGTCATTGCTAATAATTCCTAGGCATTAATATGAATGCAAAGAGTCTTCGGACGAAGTCGGAAACAAGAATTCTTACAGTTATTCCTAAGCATTATAAACATAATAATTTGATATTATATAGAATATCAAATGATTATTGAAACAACGTTGAAAAGAATACATTCTCGGTTTGAAAAGTTTTGGTAAATATTTTTTATAGTAAAAGTAAATAGATTTTAATGATTTTTATATTAAATTAAAGTGTACTTTTTTGTCTACGCGTAAAATACAATTTCGAGTTATAAATTCTCTTGGTACTCTTTGGTACTCTACGTATAGCCAAAAGAGTGCACTTTAATTTAATATAAGTTTCATTAAAATC